GGTTGGTTCCTTGCCACGTGACAGGCATCTGACCTCCTAGTCACCAAGGCAAGATCAGGCAAGCACATATGTTACTGTCATGGCTGCCAAAATGGAGAGCTGGTCCCTTCAAAGATAAAAGTATTTATTGGTCTTTAAAATTATTGTGCCTTACTAGCTTTTAATTTTACTTATTATTCAATATTATTTAGATGTAATTGATTTCAGACTGAATTATCAACGTGATATCAAAAAATACACAAAATTTAGTTAAAAATCAACAAAACACTGGCCTTTGAAAATTCGGGCAATGAAGAGATCCCTTAGGATGTAATCCAGTCGGTAGGAAGTTACAGTTTCATGGCCTGATACCATTTGGTAAATTACTAAATCAAGAACTGCAATTATTTGTCAGAACTTTAAATTGAGATCTGGATAATTCATGCTCAGCTCATAGATCTTGCTGTTATGAATGAATGTGCCATGACCCGGCTTGTATCAGTCCCACGCTACAGAGGCTATTCTACACCAGACTGATGGCCTTGGGGGCTGTGATCAGAGCCATCTGAACAGCCATGGATCCTTCCTTGAGTGAGGGTTGGTGGACCTGGAATCTCCTAGCTACCCAACAGCGATTAAGACCAGACACAGGCATCTTGTCATCTTAGGAGGGCTTTCAGTCCATGCTGGAAACTGGAGGCTTCGGTTTATTCTAGCATCCTCCTAAATTGCTTTCTAACAGTCAGGGTGACTGCTGAGAGCATCTACTATCAAGTCATTCTTTTAAACCTAGCAGCATACCTAAAAACAGTCTCTAGGCATGTAGACAAAGCCCTCAGCACAGGTGCAGCACATTAAGAGCCTGGGCCTGTTTGAATGCAAACTAGGAGATGTTCTCTACTGAGGCCATGCCATCCAGCAGCAATTAGCCATCATTTGCAAGACAGTGGGGGTCTAGGCTCCAGAAAAATGGATCGGAGATTTGGACCCCCCAGAAGCATTATAATAGATAATTTTTAGTCCCTGACATGAATGTGGGAAAAATGAGATGAGGCTGTAAACAACTCACTTCTAGCTCATTGTACATATCTTATGATGGTGGTTCCCAGACTCTCCTCCCCTCACCTCCCTACCCCCCACCCAGGCTTTTAAAAAAAAGTTCCATTCTAAAGCTCCATTCTAAAAGTTCTGGGGTTAGAATCACTCTGGGGGTAGTTTTGGGTTCAATAGTGCTTTAAAGAACCAGGTGACTGTAAAATGTAGCCAGCATAGAGAGCTTGTGCTATCCTATGATAGTCAACCTGGAACCCTTTGACTATTCTTAGGCCTGTGTACAGGTGAAGAAAAAACAGTAAACAAATGATAACCCTATTTCATTTGATGGATTGGACACCCCCTGCCCGGCCCCCAGCTTCACAGGCATGCTCAATTTCTCTGGCAAGAAGTTAACAGGTAACAGGTGCATCATTTTAGCATCTGGCACACGCACCCCATTAGCTCCTGGATGATAACAACTAAGACACAGCCAGTCATCAGAAACCAAACAACAAAACAAACAAGGATGCTTTCCTTTTTGAGAAACTGCCTATCACAGGTTTAGATAAAGCAGGACTTGTCTGAGTTTTCCTCTCCCGGTTTTTCTATCATCATTGGCTTCATTGTCAAGTCAGGATTTACATATACAAGGTTTCCCTCTGCCTTTGTGGCATGATACACCAGAAATAAGCCACAGCTCTAGATGCATCTTCAGATTAGTGGACCCATGGATAGAAAGCCTGGCTGCCTTTGGCACGTATCATGACTACTATTTGAGCTAACTGAATATATATGAAGTGACTGCTCAGAGGCCATATTGTGCAGCTGACACAAAGGGAATACTGCCACTCTCTTGTGTAACACAATCTGGCATTTATAAACTGTAAGCCTGGAGACCTGCTGG